AAAAAGGTAAAACTGTAATCTGTGAATTAATTTTAATAAGATGAACAAATTAGAAGTTTTAACAGAAAGATAATCTAGATGCAACTTCAAAAACACCAAAATGGAAATATTACATGCTTCCCATGAAGGTAGTCTAAAGAAAGATATCATGAGCTTTTATCAAAAAGTAAAAGTTGAACTCTTTTAAAAAAATTACTAATTTAAGTATGTTAGCAGATGTTAAACTTTGCATGTTGACAAGTCATCTAAGTAGATCTTTTATAAATTTAAGAACAAAGGGCAGACATCTTGCAAGAAAAGTGCGACTGCTGACAGATATAGGGAAGAAGTTGAAGGCAAAACTGAAGGAAAAAGTTGAGAAAAAGAATAAAGTAAAATGAGATACAAAAACCATTTAAAAAGTGCATGAACTAACATAAAAAACAGAAATACATATTGGATTTCGGAAGAACAATCTGCTATTTTTAAATTTTCCGTAAGGGAGAATTATTTTCTGTAATGAATAATAAGTTAGATAAAAACATATTCAGAGAAGTAAGTGAAGAAATGTAAGATACAGGATAACAGCAGGAAAAAAAGCCTTTCTAGATGTGTACTAAAATTTCAGCAAAATGTCCTGTGATATCAATTCTGTAGTGAGTCACAGCACAATTATATTATAATTTAAGTAAAATTTGCAGAGGCATATGATTTTTCATGGTTTCATTCAGATGGATGCTGATTATCCCTGACTCCTATTAGTTTCAATGAGAGGAAGATCAGTAACAAAGATGCATTACTTCTACAAATAGTAATTGTAAGTGCCATAAGAAGAGTTGAGGAGTACTAAGGACTTCTAAAATTATCAACTGGATATTATCAGCAACACTACTAATATCTGACCACACACTTCGTAGTGTTCTCTAAGTTATTTCATAATTCTTAAATGCACTACTTAAATTCAATTTTCATTATCAACATTTGAAAGTTAAATGGTATTTCTTAATTTTTCTTTAAAATATCTTAGAGTATATAACACTATTCATTATTTAAGACTGGCTCTTAGCCACTCCACAGCTGACAGCCCTAGACATATACCTTGTATATTTTCAGTAGAGGAGTAGATTATTTTTTCAATAAAATAGAAATTCAACAGCCAAAATTTGAGTTTAGACTTAGACTCTTCTGCTGCTACTTGTTGCATTTTTCCATTTGGCAAAACACTAGGCCATTATATCGTTCTGAGTTTGTCCCTCCCTGAAGTGAATAGCTTAACTCATATTGAGAACTGCATAGTGCAAAAATTTAATTTCTAAGTATGAGCACTTGCTATGGTTTACAAAATTACATTGTCACTACTGCTTAGTCTGTTTGGTTTCCTATGTATGTGCTGATTTCCGGTTAGGATGATCTCTGATGCATTTTGCTGAAAAAATGTATTTATCTATCTTCCCAGGGCAGTACTTGTCATGTTTTTTCATAAAGTATACTACTATTTACACAACATTATTAGTCGTCAGATGCACGGATGTGGTTCTTGTATAACTGAGTAAATTAATAATTCCCAGAGTTAGGCAAACATGATTGTAGTTTATAATCTAGCCTAGAGAACGTTGCCTCTGGGGACACCTTAAATTATGCAAGGACTTAGGGGTTTTGAATGTTTAAAATTGCCTGAATAAGCACAACACATTCTTTGGTGGTTAAATTGCTAGATAAACTGGAGCACGCTATGTTTCCCTCTACATTTGTTCCTTTGAAGTTAATATTTATTTATGTTCTAAATTCATTTTCCACAGTCAAATATAAAACAACTCTCTTTTTTGTCCAATTATTTTTCTTTTCCCCCAATGTTTTATTTTTATTAAATTGCCTGAATAGATTCTAAAGTATGGCTACATAACAACTTTTAAGTAAATGTGAAACTGTAAGGACCAAATAGGGAATGTATGATGAACAAGGTTCAGGAAGGTATGGAATAACCAAAGAAATATGGAAGGAAAAAAAAAAAACAAAAACTAAGGAAAGATCTAGAAATAAATACAGGGGAATAAGTCAGTGCACATAGTGAAACATGTAACATAAATTTTGAAGAAAAAAGACTCTGGGGGCTAATTTTACTCAATGTTTTTATGACCATTCTTTTTTTTTTTTTTTTTTTTTTTTTTTTTTTGTATCAAGACTCCATTAGCTCTTTCTTCCACCCTTTGTTAGTTTATCTACAAAGAAATACTAGATTAATATCACCTACATATATTTGAGTGCTATTAATTTTAGTGGATATGGGATCTGTCACTCTCTTTCTAGATTTGAATCATAACTAAACTGTTAATATTAAAGGACTAAACTATAACATAGTTTTTGCTTATAAAGACTTCCAAGCATTCCAGTTTATGTTTTTCTTAAGCTAACAAATAAATGATGAATACATTCATCTTCACAATTAGGCGCTCCTGACACTGGAAGCTTTTGCTCCCTTTACAGTTCTTGTGTACCTGCACACAAAAGGCACACAGAGAATCATCCCGGCACTCAGGTAACACTGCAGACCTTGCTTTTCATGTTTGTGGGCTGTCAATCCAGTACACTGTCACACATTCTTCCTATTAAATATAAACAAATCTAGCAAATTCTAGCAATTTCAACTTTGCTTTGAACATCTGATCACCACTGCAGTCTGACTTCAAATTGGGCATCCCGTGAGTTTTCAAAAATTCCATACTTGACTCGCTTCCAGCTGTGCTAAGTACTTCAGATGTATGCCAGGTTGGCCCTGGCTAATAGCCAGACTCCCACCCAGCTGCTCACTTACTCATTCCTCCTCTACCCCCCACAGCAGGACAGGGGGAGCAAATAAGAGGAACATGAATGAGAAAGCTCATGGGTTGAGAAAAAGGCAGGGAGATTGCTTACTAATTACCATGATGGGCAAAACAGACTCAACCTTGGGAAATTTAGCTTAATTTACTGCCAACTAAAATAAAAAAGTCATTACTAATTTGGGTGGTGGGAAACAAAAAGGCATACATTATTAAAACAACAGCTTTCCTCCCCCTCTTCCCCAGGCACGACTTCATTCCTTCACTCCCGACTCCTTTACCCTCCACCTGAGTGGTGTAGAGGGTTGGAAGGGTATGGTCAATACCCAGCAGTTTCTCTTAGCATCTCCCTTCTTCTCACCCTTTTCACCTGCTCCAGCCAGGACTCTCCAGGGGCTGAAGTCCTTCAAGATAAACCTGCTCCAGTGCGGCTGCTGTGGATATCTGCTCCATCATGAAGCACCTCCTGCTCCTCCAGCCTTGGACTTCCCTCTGCTATTTCTCACTCATTTTAGTCTCACTCTATTCCTCTCTCTCTCTCTCTGGTGTTTTATGCCCTTTTTTTAATGTTTCCGCAGAGGTGCCAGGAGTGTGGCCGAGGGGCTCAGCTGTGCCCTGTGGTGGGTCCATTGGAACCCTCTGGAACTGGCTGTGCCCAGCACAGGGCAGCCCCTGGCCTCTTCCTGCAGAGGCCACCCCCACAGCCAACACCTGGGTACCAGCAGCCGGCACAAGAAGTTTTCTCTATTGGTTTTGGGTGGGGTTGGTTTTTTTTTTTTCCATACTCAAAATGTATGTATCAGGCTTTGCAAACACTTGCTCTTTTCACATCTGCAAATACAGTCAACTGAACCTTTCAGTTTGAAACTGAGCTGTTAGCTTCATTATTTCCATTCATCACTTCCCTTTTATTTCTCTGTGTCCAGATGCACGTTCCTGTTTCTATCTACAGCTCATGCCATGTATTATACTTAGAAGTGATTAGTAAGAACTCCAAATCATTATTTACGAGCATCATGAATATTTACAGAAAGCTAACCAATATTGCAGAAAGGAGCTTGTGAATGTAGGCAAGACACTTTGGAATGTCAGTCATATGATTAGTACCAAATTAACAAAAGCAACAATTATTTAACTGAGAACTTTTCAGAGGATGCCGGTTTTATCCTAAGCCTCTCAAGCGACTTAAACCTACCATTCAAGCAAGATGCGCTTTGAAACTACCCTTTATTTTACAAAACACTGCGTGAGGAAGCTCAATTTACAAACAGAATTAATGTAAAGACAGCAAACAAAACAAAGGTGATGTGCGAGTACAATTGCTGCCTTCGAAATTAACGGCATTCACAAGAAAATTAAATAAACAAACTAGATAATTGATTGTGCCGATATTCTACGCACATAACAGCTCCAGAGATTTTGGACTCACCTGAGTCAGAGAGCAAGTACAACTCCCGATGTAACGGTTTGTCCACATTTATAGCTTCGCTAATATAAAAAGGCCAAAGCAAAGTAAACATACCCACAAGCAAACAAAATAAAGCTGAAAGCTTATTTTTAGAGTTTTGTCAGAAGATGTAATAATGTTTCTCATTTTCTATTTTGCTTCATATTTTGAGGTTGTGGCAAAGGTAGGAGGCAAATATTTGCCTTCTTAAAAAAAAAAGATTTCTAAGTTACATTCACCGGTGACTCTTTGAGAAGTACCATGTGCACTGCTGAATATTTGGAGGAATGAGCAAACCAACCAGTTTTGTAGTAAAATACTTATTTTGGAAAAGACCACATTTTTATTGAATTATTAGAAGATAAGGCTGTTACTATGTTCTGTTTGTACTAAGTCACTATGCATTACTTAAAATACTCATTTCACAGATTTCTTTTTTCTTTTAGATGTTTGAAGACTGTATAATCCTGAATGCATAATGCTGACTCTATTTTGGGCTGCAATTTTGTCCTCATGTGCTTTTATTGCTATATTCATTCTTTTAAATGACTGGCCTGTGAGACATGTTTTCTCTATATTTAACAACAAGGGTTTGAATACAGAGCAAAATAAAAACAGACCGAGTTGGACAGGCATATAATTTCCATTTGTTTTCTTTGAAACATCAGGATTGTGGAGCTTGTTACATATTGCTTTTCTATTCTTTATGAAAAGTTTTGACAGTAAGTTGTTACATAGAGCTTTCTCTTACTTACATTGATATCTTCCAAGTCTAAGCTGTTCAGAACAACGTTGTTCCTCTTCCAGATGATGGGAGGTCTCAGAGTTCCCTGGATCGCACAACTTAAGACAGCACTTTGCCCCACTGTTGCTGAAGTGATGCTTAGTTTTTGATCTTCAGGCAGACTCAGCTGAACTACCTCTGCAAAGATATATTGTTTGTAAGATTAATTAGCAGGCAATTTCATAAGGTTAATTAGCATGCAGTTTTTCTACACTGGTAATTTAAGAATTTTAATTGGAATCAAAGCAAAAAGAACTTCCAACAGCCATAGGAAGTTCAGAGCATTTCAAATAAAGGTCAGCATGACATTTCAATTAAATTGACTGACAAGTATCACCCTGTAAGAAAAGATGCATTTAACATGAAAATGAATTTCAGAGGTAAGACTGTAATAAACATGACAGTGTATTCAAAGGCAGACACAAATAACCAGAAGTTATTTGACAGTTGAGGCCAATGCAATGGAGTAGTCAGCACCTTCGTCTGAATGAAGATGGCAGTACTGCTAGAAGTCAGTCATATGAGTTCATTTCCAGAAAAGAAAAATACAAAGGGAGCTCAGAGTACAAAACATAAAGGGCTGAAACCAACATGGACAAAGTGAATTCTGCATTCAGAATATAAAATTAAAGTATAAGATTCCTTTTCTGTAAACCAGTTTTTATGGGGCTTTTTCCTTGCTATCAGTGAAAACATGGTTTCCAGATCAAACTGGCATTAGTAATCCTTCCCATTTCAGTCTCAGAAGAAAACTCATTAATCATCATCCAAACACATTAGTTAATGTCATTTAAAAAAAAAAAAAAGTGTTAAAATAATTTCTACTACATTTCTCTGGTGAAACATGATTCCTTTTACAACTACTGCAGAAATTAAGAGCCAGAATAATAAATATTTGTGTACTTGAATAAATCTCTGCAAATATAGGAAAAAAAAAAAAAAGATTAAAAGACGGGGGGGGGCGGGGGGAGAACAGAACTGAAAAAACCAGAGCACTTCATTGCATCAATTCTGAAACTGCTCTGTCTGCCAAGGAACAGAAACAACCACCAGGATGGATTACAGCACCTGGTAGAAGTACAGAGTACAATACTGTATAACAGTGAAAGACAAACCTGAAGTAGATGCAGCACATCACCTGAAATACTGTGAATTATCTCAATCCACGAATATTTGCCACCTATTCTTTTGCATTTATTGTGCAACACAGTAGAAATTGATAGTGCTGTTAAGCTGTTTCACAAGGCTTCCCCAGCCACTTTTAATTTATTATTACCTAAAATAACCCAATGTAAAATATCTGTAAAACAGTACATTTAGGGGAGGCAGTTTCAAAAGTGTGTCATAGGGGTTTTTGGGGGATTGGAGTGTGTATGTTTTGTTTTTTTCTTGAAGACAGACAAATTGCTAAAACATTTTGTAGAAAAACCACCACCAATACAAGCAAACGCTCATGTTCTGCAAGGACGCATGCACATAAGAAAATTCAATCAAAATGAGAAATTTGAGGAACACAAAATTGCTTTTTCACATTCACAGGTATTGTTTGAATCATAAAGAAATTTCAACATTGCTCTTTAAAATTATCCAGCATTTCTCAAATTAACACCAGCACAGCAAATTCAAACTCACTTAATATCCCATGACAATGAACATAGTTTATGGCATGGTATGTGAAACATCAAAAAAAAAATGTAATTGCAATACAAAATACATTTTATAAGTTAAAAGAAAATCCTAATGAAATTAAATTCAATATGAACAAACATACTGGTAAATACGGAGTATGCAGCCTTTAAAGGAAATGTATTTTTATATTTAATTTAAGGAAACCTTTGTCATACAATTTTGGAACAAATCTACTAGATGCAAAACCAAGTAAATAAAATTAATATTAGTAGAGAAGTACTCTCAACCCTTTCAACCTAACAGTATGGGAAGTACATTTCCCCCTATTTTTTTATTGCCTCTGGTATCTCATATCACAAAAAAGTAAAGCATGACTTCAGAAACTACCTTTGTGTCATAACACAAACTAAAACCAAAGTAACTGGACAAATTTCAACAAGAAAACAAAAAAATGTGAGCAGCCATGTTCATTTTAATCCAAGGGGAAAAAATTATAATTTTTCAGGTTAACCAGAAGTTCCTCATTATTCGAGTTTTCAAATAAAGTTTTAAAAATTTAGACATGTGTGATGGGAGTCCAGACCTTGAAACTTTCTCTGCTAATCTTTGTACTAAACAGCTCTGATGTTAATAGAAGGCCACTTCACTATGCCCCACAACCCACAACTCATTTGGACACTAACATAAAAAAAGAATTATACACATTAATTTGAGGACACTGTATACTCTTTCCTCTTGTGTAATTGCCTATAGGTTAGAGGCTGAACAGCTGAGAGTTGTCTTTTTACTTGCGGTGTGCCTGATTAAACATAACCTATTAAAATTCCATGTTTATAAGGATTTTGTCATATTATACAAAAGAGCTATATAGGAATTAAAGATCATCAAAATAGCAATTTTTACACTCAGCTGCTAAAGCATGAAAAATCTCTACATTTTTTATCTTTCATTTTTTAAGCAACTACAAAAGGCATCATATAACTATTCTCTTTTAATTACCAAATTAATTTCATATAAGGGAGACAGTAATCCTTCCATTAAAGCAAAGCAGCAACTTATAAGCAAGCTAAGATCCTTTACAGCTCTTTTTAGCCTCATAAAAGCCATACTTTGTAATTAACATAATTTTTTTTTTTCCAAATGCAAGCATCAGAGAGGCACCTCAATATCTTCAGGAAAGAAAGTTTTATTGTTCTAGAATTAGACTAAATGGTTCAATTTTGTGTGATTAAAAATATTAATTTTATCTTTAGACTAAAAAAACCTGATTCTTTTCCAGAATGAATATTCTATGACTCAAAACTCAAGTGATACTGCCCACCAGACATATGCAAATGAGTGACCCATTTTTTTCCAACTAGATGCATTCTCTGATGCCATTTGTTACACTAAGGAAAAGGAAATGTATGAATTAGGTTGAATATTGGTTTATTTACTGTAGGTTTTAAAATTAACCGCATCATCAGAAGCATTTCAGCTCCAATGTTATAGGAGATGGTTCTTCAGTGCCTCTATCAGGCAGACTTTACGAGACATAACTGCATGGCTACTGAAATTTTCTGGTAGAAAACTGATAGTATAGATATTTTGCTGCTTTGTTGAATTCACTGTTGAAAGATCTCAAAGGGTAGATAAATATCCTGATACTCCGTTTATAAAAGGATAGTTATCTGTGGTTTCCAAAGTCACTATTTAATTTAGGAAGGTCATGAAGTAACAATCATGAAATCAGCCTGTGCTGTAGGGCCCTCTATGAAAAGTGCTAAGCCTCACATGATAAACTGGGATAGCCAATTTAAGTTCTACAAGATTTCAAAGCCTTTTTTCAGTTAACTCCAGTATTACTATGGATGCCTGTATACAGAAGGCCAGTAACTATTCCAGACGTGTTTGTAATTTTAATCAGAGTGCAACACTACAAAAGGGAACATCTATCAAATGTCAAACTTAACATTTGCTACCTTAGCAAAGATAGCATTCTGAAATCAGAGGCATTGCTGTATTATTTTGTTGATGCTAACAGTTCATCTGATTTTTTTTTAAACTGCCTTATTTTTAATAGCAATGATAGCCTTGCCATAAATAATAAGTTATGGTTACAATAATAATGTAAGATAATAACACTAATTTTGCCAGAGGAATTACCTAAGAATTATTGAAATAATTCTCAAACTTCAATACAATATTTTCATATTCCATTTACTTCTATCACACGCCTATATTGTAATAAAACAGCCAAATGCAAAATGTAATAAAATTAAGAAACAGTTGTCCTACCTGGAAGTGGTAAACATACTAATATTACATATTTCTTAAAAGTTATGAAGAAACCCCCACTCTAAAAAAAGCACTAGAATCACTGTTTTCCCACAAGATACTGAACAACATTTAAGTAAAAAAAACCTTCATATATTACACAATTGTGTATATTTTACATTATTAATTTCTAGGAAAAAGTATCTAAGTTATAACTTTTTTTATTTTCTAAAGAGAAAACCATTGCATATATTTTCTCCTTATCTGGGAAAAAAAAAGAACCACCCAACTGAAAAAGCCCTAAGCTGACAGAGCAGTACCTGGAGCGGCGCAGAGCTCTTTGACAGGTAACTCTGAGGCGCACCGGGCAGCACCTCTCAGAGCCTGACATCCCTTTGGAAACAGAAACCATAGGCCTAGGAACTAAATGATGCATTTACCGTCTCTTCTTTCCTCCCTAAAATAAACCTGGTTCTGAGAGCAAATACTTTTTTGCCAGAGACTGAAGCCATGGCACTGGGAGATACCACCTGCTAGGATGACTCCTAGCTTTCTCTCCATGTTGTCCTTGTAAAGCAATGGTAATTCTTTAAAGTTTAGCTTCATACATTTTGTTTGTTTAATTTTAAATGAAAAAGAGTAAAGGTTTGGAAAAACTGGAAGCGATATGAATTCAGTTTACAAATACCAACACTAAGCAAAAAAAAAAAAAAAAAAAAAAGGTACTGTTGTTTACAGAGCAGTAACATTATATATAAGTAGCCAGTAAGGTTTTACCTTCTATAGCTTGTCGTTATCAGAAGCATGAATGTTACTATGGTACACCGTATTAATGAGTTTGTTTGTAACTCCTCCAGATGCAATATCAGTCTGACATGCATCCCTGGTTCGTACCTACAAACAGCCCCTGGGTATGTTCTTTCAGATAAAGGGGAGAAAAGCAAACAAAAACCCAAAAGAAACCCATTTAAATAAAAGCTAAGGGTACAGTTAGGAGATGTGGACAACAGAACAGGCTACAAGCAGCTCTGTAAAAATATCTGGTTGGAAATAACATAAAAGAGGTGATTATAAAAGAGGACAAAAGTGGTGAAAACAGAGTAAGTGTTAACTACTGAGAAGACATTTTAAGACATTAACAGTGACCAGGAAAAAAAGAACTCAGAAGGGCTCAGAAATGCCCAAGACTGAAAAAAACCTAATGGTTTAAATATAAGACACTCCTCGTTTGTTGAGGAACTTGTGTGAGATAG